ACACTTGTCCATTCCGAAAAAAATTTGAATAATTTCGATGGACTTCTCAACATTCTCGAGGATGTTTTGAGGTTTCCAAATGTATTCAGCCATTTAGTAACATTCGAACAATAGAATATTCGAGCATTAGAAAATAAACAAAACGCGTTATGTTTAATTATTAAAATCCCAAAAATTAAAAAATATTTTGAAAATACATTTCTTTCATTCGAAAGCTTATGATTTGTATTACAAATGCTGACAATTTCATAATTATTTAGTGAAATCCCGATCTGCTATGATTTTTTGAATTTGTTTGAAAATAATTGAATATCACAAAAATAATGAGAATATAATTCCGTATTAAGATTAACAATTAATATCTCAAAAACTAAAAGTATTTTAAGAATTCGAAAATTTCACCAGCACTTATTAAAACAACGATTTATTACGATTTTTTGAAATTGGTTGAAAATAATTGTTTATCCAGAAAAATGAGAAAATGCCTTATAATGATTAGAAATTAATATCTTAACAACTAAAACATATTTTGAACATTTGTTTCTTTAACTTAAAAGCATGTATTTTGTATTGCAAATGAGGACAATTTCGTAATGACTTATTGCAATCCCGATTTGTTATGATTTTTTGAAAACGATTGAAAGACATTGATCGACAAGGTTTTTGCCACAAGGATTCTGATACGAATTATTATTTTACTACATAACCTCATTACAAAACTCAAGTTATTTTATTTGTGTGTGTTAATTTGTGAATTTAGCAACGTTGTTAGTTTCTCAAAACGCGATGGAAGTATATCAATCTTTCTAACAGACATGCGTAAAGAATCTTACGGATTGGGCAAAAGGAACTCGATATATGATTTTCGGAACACCCATGATTTGGACAGAGCTGTAGACCACGTATCTGATTGCTAGTTTTGCCTGATTAAAAAGTAGTACGTTCTGCATTACGACCACTCCCTCATAGTGTTGTTTTCTTATACCTGCAATACCAAATCAGACAAATGACGCTGTAAGTTATGCCATCGATTTATCTTCATGTAGTGCAATTGCAAATGAAATTCATGATCCTCATTTACTAACTCAAGTTGATATTAACTATCTCGTCAGCGACTTAAAGTTGTAAAAAAAAACAGTCTGAACTATTAGGATCTAGATTGAAAGAATGGAATTTATTTCATCCAGTCGTTTTCGTAACCGTGTCGAAGAATTAAAAAATTCTGAATGAACTTGATAGATATTAAATTTGAACCACAACATTGGCGTTTGTTTATGGACTCGTCAAAAACCAATTTAAAAACTGTACTGTTGCATAATGGAAATAGATTTCCCTCTGTTCCGGTAGCACATACTTTTGGTATAAAAGAAACGCACGGAAATATGAAATTGGTGCTAAAAAAAATTCAACATAATACATTTTCATTTAAACTACGTAGTGACTCAAAAATTATTTCTTTACTTTTACGATTGCAGCTGAGTCACTCAAAATACACTTTCTATACCCCCATCTCAATTCCTTTCCCGAGACAAAGAGTTGCAAAAAAGTTCATGTGATAAATTAAAAGTTCATTTTTGTTCTGTCAGTGTAATTGAGCATCTCCAAAAATGAGAAAATGCCTTATATGCTTAAAAATTAATATCTCAAAACTAAAAGATATTTTGAAAATTCGTTATATTTATTGGAAAGCTTATAATATGTATTGCAAATACTCATAATTTGATAAGAATTTATTAAAACTACGATTATTACGATTTTTTTATGTTGATTGCAAATAATTGTTTATCCTGAGAAATGAGAAAATGCCTTTTACGTTTAGAATTTTTACGATTTTTTTAGCTGAAAACAAGTTATTTTACAAGAGTTATCTTTTTATATATTTTTCAATCGTATTTGATATAGTTTTCAAATATCTTTCAAATAGAAACAATACTTTATTTAATAAATTAATTACTAATTAAACGATTTTTAATTGCATTAAAAAATATGTTGCTGCTTCGTTCACACGATAGCTCCTCTTCCAATGTTATGAAAGGGATGGATTGGTATAATCCGCTTAAATTTATATTAATATGAATTGCAGTTCCGAGTACAGAGAATCTACTTATGGACAAAATAAGCCTAAATCGGTCCATTAGGATTTAGTGTAATCATGTGAACCATTTCATCAAATGTGAACATCAAATAGAAGTACTAGTATTAAGGGGATTTATCCCCTTAATAAATAAAAAAAAAATTGAAATAATTAAAATTAAAATTAAAATCGTGATTTACCTTTAGTCAGCAACTCCAGGGCCGTATAATATCTTCATCATAGAAAACCTGGTCTTGTACATCTAATTTATTTTTTCTCTGTTTTCGCCAGTTTAGCGGCACCTGATTCTCACTGTTCGGCAATTTCCATCCTTTTCGGATTTCTGTCTTACACGTATGCAAAAATATCGGTACCAAAAGTAATACCCATACTTTGCATCATTGTTAACACCGGTGTGTAATCTTCATTAAAAATTCTTGTATTCTTCATTAAATCTTATAATTGGTATAACATTTGCTGAGAATTTCATAATGATTTGGTGAAAAGTTAACTTGTCTCCTGTATCAATTAAAAAATGTAATTTATTGTAGTGATCAAGAATAAATAAACGTGAGTTATTATTTTGTGAATTATTGTTATTAAATTTCCAATTATAAAATGTTGAAACCTTTATGTGTTTTTTGAGAAATTGGTGTTTGAATTTTGATTATTAAAATTTTAATAAGAGCCGCACCAAAGACCTTGACATTTCAACGCTTTATCTTTAAATCTGTAGTGGTAATAACAAAGTGAAGAAGATTCATCTTCATTTGTACGATTTCTAGAGTTAGAACGCGATCTATATGTTTGTTGACAATTTTGACAACTAATATGTGGTCCACAATGTGGTCTATAATTGTTTCTACCTTTAACTTGATTTTGAATGTTGATAATTTGAGTTTCCATAATTGCTTGTTTTTAAGAAATATTTGTAATCAGTGAATGACAAGAAATGTTTAGATCACTAGAATAATTGCTTTTATCAAAGATAAATTATTTTGTTGATTCAATTGACCTGTCGAAACATCCGATTTTGATTAATGTTGGAAATATTATTATGAGCAGCAAGTTAATGGAAGGAATCCCAGTCTTTATCTGCAATTTGTAAAAGATCATCAATATTTTCTTTTCCGGGTGCAAGAAGTGCTACAGAGATGGAATCTGGCAACCTGCGCTTCCACAATTTTAACAGGAGATCATGACTAACCATATGTGTTCCGCCAACGGTTCAACGACAACAGTTCATCAGGTTTTTTTTTCTTCACTGAATGATAGTCGAGAAATTAAAGCAGTTTTAATTGTATTATACATATCTTTATCAGGAGGTGAAGGCATAATGTCAAAAATATTAGAAATGATATCAAAGGGCAAATTTGCAACCACCAAATGATACTTGGATTTATCATTTGTTATTCGAGAAATACAAAATTGGGATTCAATTTGAGTGAACCAAATTTCAGGTTTTGATGTCCAAAAGGGTGGCAATTTAATTGAATTCAAATGTGCCATATTATCGTTAGAATTTGAAGATGAATCACCATTTTGATTAGAATTTTCTATCATATTGACGTTGATTTATTAAATTTATTAAAAGAAAATAATTTTGAAATTTAATTTGCGAATTTGTTACTTTTGGGAAGGAAAATACTTGTAACGCACTTACCGATTCCACTGTCAATTAAAAGAAATTGAAATATGGCAGGGAATATGTGCAACGCCACATTATGATTTTTTAAATCATTGAACATATGTTTATACATCTGGATTGAGTGGTAGAGGATGCTCTTCTAAATAGTCTGATGTTTTTAAACGTTTAACAATCCTAAGAGGACAGACAGGAAAGTAAAATTTCTGTCTACTTTAAATATGTCCCACTTGTATATGGAAAATTGGGTGTTGATATTAAAATACAATAATTACAGCCTTTTTTGGCTCGTCGTTACAAAGTCGACAATTTTGATCCTCAGCTTGTCCAATATGGAAGAGGTGGTATTTTGGGGGCGTATGGCCGATCAGGAATAGAACGTCTTTGATTTTGCTTTGCGGCGGAGTTATCTTATTCTGCCTGTCTGTGACCTGGAAGTTCTTTCTAGCGTAAGGCTACCTTTAAGACCTCTCAACTATTGATTACTTGTTGTAAATGGCTTTTCTGTGGTCCACAACAGGGTTGAGGTTCAATAAAGGGCTCCGTTGCCTCTTTGGCCAGCTTGTCCACCACTTCGTTACCTTCAATGTCTGTTGAATGCATTCTGTTGTGATCTGGAGCCCACCATACAATGATATCATTGCCCCTAACGAGTTCTTTCAGGTTGCCAGTACATTCTCTGATCAGTGCGGATTCACACGTTCGTTTCACTGTCCGTGAAAATATTTATTGATGCACCTTTCTGTCCCTTTTCTAGGTTCAAGACAGTGCAGAAGTTTATAGCAAGAACTTCAGCATGAAATATCGTTATATCCGAGCTGAGGAGAAATTTAATGCGGCAATTTGGTCCACTTATGCCCAGACTCACTTCGGCTCCAACTGTCTTTGAAGCATCGGTGTACCAGGCTCACCGTTTTGAGTTGAGGCTCACCCTTTGTTCAATTATCTCTGCTTCTAAATATGACTTTATACAGCTTGTCAAAATTATATTCAGTCGATATGTGGTCCGTTTTAATTTCATTCAAGTAGTTTAGATATGAGTCTTTGAGGATTTTGAGGTATCCTGTGAGATTACCCTGCATAAACTTGAATGAAGAACAAGTTTTCAGTGATAAGACACTTAGAGCTGCCTTCTTTTGTATATATAAATGAAGTGGTGTGAGAGCGAGTTGGGTTTCATATCCCTTATATAAACAAATAATAATAATAAGTTTATAAATTAAAAAAATTGAAAATTTAATTTTATCTGTTCAATTTAATAATATTTTAATTTTTTTCTAGATCGGAAGGTTATCATGTTCGTACATCCCTTCCATCGGAAAAACAACAAGTCCTGTTAAATCACGTAACAACTCATCCCGGGGTGATTTTGGAGCCATCCACAGCAGGTCACACACCCCTTCAATCGATGACGGGTGCAATGGATGTCCCTCCAACGGATAAAAAAGCGAACATGTCGAAAATGTTAAAAACAGTGGCCACTTCGAGCATCTCGGATTCAATGTCGTTGAGTTCTCCACCCGGAGCTCACAGTCCAAAGGATTTTGATAAAGTTATAGCCGGAACCGTTCCGAGCGAAGTGGCCAATTTAAGTGAGCAATTACAAAATTTGATTATGGGCAGGGTGGCGCAATCGAAAACCGCCGCTCGGACTAGAAAAATTGTTATCTACGTTTGTGCTGCAGATTCTCAAGGTTTCTCATTAATAAAAAATGTATTTTTAAATACAAAAAAAATATTTTTATAGATTGCTGTGTGGAAAAAGGGGCTTTACACAACGTGGTTTATCCGGAACTACGAGAACTGTGCAGGTCGAAGGGTTACGAGCTTCATATAGTGGATTTACACTGGAAGACTTTGTTAGAGAAACAACAAGATCATGAATTTCCCGAGTTGTGTATAGGAGAATTAGCACGTAAGTTAGAAAGCGTAATTTTGTATGTTATAAATTTGCAAATTCCAACCCAATGAGTTATCCTAATTTATTTTACTAAAAACTGAACGCGTTGCCAAAAGGACTTTGATGTAAAGTGTCATCACTAACTATGAATCGTGTTTTCTAGAAACCGCAATTTTCTAGAAGTTACTAATCAAAAAAGTCAAACCCAACTGGTTTTCAAGAGATTTCGTCGTCACCGGAGCTATTTACAAAATGATATATTACTTCGATTCTATAGACCGTAAAGTTACATTGACCAACAAGTGCGCGACATGGCAATGTTCCAACTAGAGTCAATTTATAAAATTTTCAATTTATTTTTGTTTACACCTGGATCGAAATCTATAATATTTCAAATATTAATATATTTTCAGGTCAAATGGAAATTGCATACATCATTCCGGTATTATTTCTTAACAATTCTTTAGGAACTCCTTTGTTACCGATAACGATAGAAAGCGCCGATTTTCAAATGGCAATGGATAGCGCCGGCAGCCAATCCGCCCAAACATTACTTAGTAAATGGTAATATTCAAAACTTCCCTTACTTTTTACTAATTTATCGTTTTAATGTTTAGGTATCATCTCGATAGCGCAGCACAACCACCGTGTTACAGACTTCAGCCGATTTCATCTCATATACCGGGATTTAAAGAAACATCCGAGGATCAAGAGCGAGGGTTAGAAGAGTGGCGAATAGAAATCGATAAAATGCTGGAAGTTTTAGTTAACGTTTTTTCTCAAGAATTAAGAGATACTTATCTTACAACGGTCGTTGAACAAGTAATTATAAACTAATTTTTGTTTTAAATATTTGAAAATATTCTCTTTTAGGAAGTACATAATACCGTATTTATGAGTCAAGAATTAGCCAAACGGTGCGTTTGGATAAACAGGGTGTATACTCCCGGTGAGAAAACCCCGGAAAATCTAAGCCCTGGTGAAACTGAATTGCACCGAAGGCTAAATACTTTACAAAGAGACTTAAGAGTAATTAATTATTTAATCGTATTATTATTGAGTCGTTTTAATTATATTTTTTTAGAATCAATTAGCTGAAAAGCACATAGTACGCATTCCAGTTAAGTTCGTTGAGGGTGGACTGAATACGGATATTCCCGAACACGAACAGTATATTAGCCAGATAATTTATCACCTTAAAAAGCACTTAACCGAAATGGTTAATGCTATCATTGAGGAACATCAATCGAAAACCGTACTTAAACCTTGTTACGGTATTGAAGCTGCGTTATTTGAAGAGTTAAATCAGCAAACTGGATTTTGTCAAAAAGCCGCACAATGTAGTGTTAACAGGGAAAAAACCATTGCTGAAATTAAAAGGTTTCGTAATTTTTAATTTCTTCCAAACTAAACAAGATATTATGGGGTGTTTTAAAACTAATATTCCAAAATTCGACTTATTAAACCAACACTAATTAGCATTGTTATTCAAGCACTTTTAGTGTAACAAGCGATTGAACGTTCCTTTTTAAAACATCGAATTTTTAATTTCCATTACACAAAGTTTTGTAGGGCTGCACTTTGTTTGTCGCATAACGGAATTGGATTATTAAAGTCTTTTAATGAGGTTACTAACTTCATTAAAGCTCCCTCTACCTAAATCACTCTTCTACTTGTTTAGCATCCTAATGGATGCCATGGTCCTTTAGCAAACTTCAAACGTCAATAAACTAAAATAGCGACCTCTACTTATATAATAAATGGAAATTCAAACGATCACAATGCGTAACATAACGTGTTGTAGTGATCACCTGGAAATTTAAAATGCTTCGTAAAGCGATTGGTTTACTGATTAGACACGTTGATACAAGAAGAGAAGGATTAATTCCAAAAGTTAAAATTAAAATTCGATGAGCATTATCACTTAGATTTCGCCTGATAAACGCGAAGTCGCTTGCGGTCGCTGGGACAAATACCACATACACCCAAAAACAGCTAACACAAGCTGCCATGTATTCTGTTATGATGGCTCGTATTCAATTCACCTCGGTTAAACCCAAAACATAGAATGAAGGATTATGTCTGATAAAAACAAGGTAGCTTGAGGCCGAGGCGCTACAACTAATACCAGTACTGTTAAATTGATCTTGTATCCAGACAAACTTATCGAAATTTTCATTTTGGAACTACATATTTCTCAAATCAGATAGTTAAGCTGTAGTAAATGATTTGGTTTACTGATTAGACATGTTGATACAAAAAGAGAGGGATTAATTCCAAAAGTTAAAATTAAAATTCGATGAGCATTATCACTTAGATTTCGCCTGATAAAACAGAAGTCGCTTGCGGCCGAGGAGCTAGAGCAAATACCATACACTTAAAAACAGCTAACACAAGCTACCATGTATTCTGTTATGATGGCTCGTATTCAATAATACATATTTATTGACAGAGAAAACTACAATAATAAAAACAAAACTAAATATTATAACATTGGCAACAATAATAAAAATTAAAAGGAATTACAGAATAAATTCTGAACCAAAAGGGGTCGAGTCAGTCTTACCATTAAGTAACACTGTTTTTATCGATCCTTTTTAACGAGAGAAAAACAAATAGTAAATGTGTAATGAATAAAAAAAATCAAATGAAATACAAAGCCAAAAACTAGGTATTATTAAAAAAAAAACAAAAGAATAGTTGTTTATGACAACTCTGCTCATTCCCAAACTTAATTTCATTTGGGATTGAATTATAAACACTAGACGCAACATAAGAGTAGGATCTTTTAAAAATTTCTAAACGATGTTTAGGTATCGTTAAAGTATGTCTGTGTCTAATGTTTAGGTTGTGGACATCGGTTCTAAACGTAATTTTATTTTAAAGATAAAGACGAGATTAACATAAACATGCAGAATGTACCCCAAAGTATGCGATATTCTCACGTACCTTCTTATGCCAAATATGAAACGAATATGAAACGAAGACACTCATTTTGAACCCGCTGAATTCGGCGAATATCATCAGCATCGATACATGAATTGTAAAGCGCATCCCCAAAATTGAAAACAGAGAGCACTAGTGCTTCACATAAGTGAGCTTTAAGTCGGCGGTGTAGCATATGTCGATTGCTTCAAAGTGGAATATGCCGAGTTAACAAGCCTACTAATATGTTGTTTGAACCTCAGACGAGAGTCCATAATAACACCAAGATTGCGAGTTTCAGAGGAAGTTGGTAATCTAGCGCCTTGCAGAACCAGATGAAAATTGTTTGACAAAGGTAAGTCATCTATCAATCTACCACCGCTGGGCCCAAAAATAACCACTGAGGATTTGGAAGGGTTAACCGTTAGACAGAGCCGAGAAGCATAAACTGCTAAATTGTCCAAGTCAGTATTTATCCTATCCATTGCGATATTCACTTCATCAGATTTAAAGCTATAATATATTTGAGTATCGTCAGCGTACATATGATAATCACAATATTTTAAGCAGGAGCAAAGCTGAAACGTATAAATCAGGTACATTAAAGGCCCAAGAACAGAACCCTGAGGTACACCCGACACAACATTCAAAAAAGCTGAGTATGAACCATCATGGGTCACGCACTGAAATCGACTACAGAGTTAACATTTGAGCAAAGAGATGGCTGAATCAGATAATCCTATATAATGTAAAATCGAAGTTTCGTGATGTAACTTGTCGAACACTTTTGAAAAGTCCAATAAGACAAGTGCAGTGAGACATCCATCGTCTACTTTCCTCAATATGTCGTCAGTGACATCCAGAAGTGCAGTGGTTCAATTGAAGCCAGAGCGGAACCCAGACTGTTTAGGTGGAAGGATATTATTTTCAGTGACATAAGCTCTTAACCTCTCGACAATAAGCTTTTCTAAGATTTTTGATAGAATGGGTAAAATACTGATGGGCCTAATATCTTTCAAACCTGAAGGGTTTTTATTTTTTGGGATAGGCATTATCAAAGCAATCTTCCATTGGTCAGGAAACACGGAAAATTCCAAACAGAAATTCATGACGTGACATAGGTAAGGAAGAATTATTGGACAACATAGTACTAGCATTTTTTTACTAATTTTATCATTACCAATTGATTCAGTTTTAATGGATATTATTAACTGAGCAATCTCCTCTTCCGATATCAAGGCAAAACTTAGAGGTGTAGTGACAGACCACATTCGATGATTGTTATAGAAATCCTGCAAATCACGATCACCCGAGGAACCTGTGTCGTTTGAAAATGTGTACCCAAAGTATCCGAAATGTTTGGACGTCTGATAGGAGTAACACCCAGGGATTTAATAGCACTCCATAATTTACGAGAATCGTTTCCAGCAAATAAAACCTCCTCTGTTGAACCCAAAACATAGAATGAAGGATTATGTCTGATAAAGACAAGGTAGCTGGAGACCGAGGCGCTGCAACTAATACTAGTTTTGTTAAATTGATCTTGTATCCAAACAAACTTATCGAAATGTTCATTTTAAAACTATTTCTCAAACCAGAGTTAAGCTGTCGTAAATGCTTATTCTTTTTTAATTTTTATTTAAAATTTCAATAAAATTGAAAAAGTACGTTACAAATCACAAAGAAATCAAACATTTTAAAGTATTTGATGTGCATTACACATCAAGTCACATTCGAAAATCTTTTTGCAGTTTTTTTATGACAGATTTTACAACGCGATTGCTTTTCTTGTCTAATGAGGAAATGATTCTAAGCATCACAACGTAACACAATTTTATTGTTCCGGTTTCACAAATGTTTCCATACTCAAGATTATATTGAAGTGGGACCGATATGGACTAAATTTAGCTAAAACATCTTTCCTACTACAATACATACTGATGGTCTAAAACCTAATAGTTAATACCTATTTTTATTTTTGCATCCAGTTACGGTTCATAACCATAGCAAATTGGTTTGTCTTTAATGAATAAATCATATATTCGTCAATTTTTCAAGGTTTTCAAAATTTTAAAACTTTAAAAGTTCTTGTTCAGCTTATCAAACAAAGGTCTAACTTTACCAAATCTTGTCGTTCTTGTCGAGGTTGTCCTACAGCAATGTTTTTTAGAACAAATTCAAATTTATCTCTTGATAAGGAGTTTGCAACAAGCTTATTATCACATTGCACAAGAAGTTTCCCAAAACTTGCACCTCTTAGGCATTAGTACGTATCTATGGAGAAAAAAAAATACCAAAAGAGGATTTCATTTCCGTGTGTTTTGTTACTTTTTTTTAATACGTACTGATTACTTTGCTGAAATATTTGCACAAGTAACTGTTTCTAACTAGTTTTAACTGATTCTAAATGATCGCTCTCTTCCTCCTCCTATCCTTCGTTTTCATGGTTTTCTAAATTTATGATTTCCGCATTGACTCGGAGTTGGATTTCCGGTAAATTTCCCATCGTCGTAATCTCCTTCTCTTCCAAATTGTATTACGACTATATTTGTTTCATTCAAGATTGATATTTCCTCAAGACTGTCTTTCAAATTACGTAAAGGTCATGCAATGTAAAGCCACTAAAATAAAACATACATTTAGCCACCCGTATGTATCTACATTACTTAAAAAAGGACCCTGTAGTTTTTCATGCACTGTGCGCTCACCAGTTAAAATTTTAATGGGAGATTTATCAGATCCTGTCGGTTTACACATTTTTATATACAAATAATCCATAGTTGTCATTTTGAGAGCAATCTAAAAATCGTTATGAATCCATCAAATAGTGTATAAACACTACAATAACTGTCACAATACATTAAAATGATTTTATAAAAGTCACCTCATTCACCACACATTTTAAGCCCTCATTCAGTGTAGGGCTCAGATACTGAGAAGTTTATTGAAAGACTTAGTATTAGTAGCTGGTCTGTTATGGAGGGATATATCAAGGACATTACTGAGATAAAGAAGAAAAAAGAGAAATATATTTCGAATACGAGGATAAAAGAGGAATCGGATCTTGCCAAATCCCTATCCAGAGTATCATTGGTAAGGTTTCTTCAGGTCAAAAATTAATCTGTTGATTTCTCTCACTATGTACTCTTAATATATACTCAATAAATAAGTAACAATATACTCAAGGATACAAGTCATTATATTAATCTGGAGATGACAAAAGAGGAGGGAAGTTTTATTTTAGTAGAACGTATGAAAAAGAAATAGATTGAAGACTTTTCTAGTTTCAGAAGGTAGAAATATGCAGGGATATTTTACCTAATTCAGAAAAGGTTGTGAAGTTCTGTTAGTATCGTAACTTTAGTCTTGTTTAACCGTTCTTCAAAATCCGTTTTATATCGTGTTTCTTTTTAAATTCCCAAGTAGGATTCTTCATACTGTTTAATTTCTTCCACTATTGCATCTTTCCAAATGTTGTACAATTTAGAATTTCGGATTTTCTTTCCACAACTTTTTTGAATATTTTGACATCAGATGACTAATTTTTGAACGTTACTTTACACAATCGAACAATGTCATGTTCATAAGGCTCTTTGAAGCCCTTACTAGAAGAGTTGGATTCAAACATAATCAGCCTATTATCGTTACATATGGCAATCGTTGTGGAGGTCAACAGTATATGTGAACATAAAATTCATTTACATGGAATTCTGTGTGTATGACATCTTTGTTACCGATAATAGCTCGGCGACATACAATCTGTGTAGCCTTCTAACCAGAGAGCTAAACGTCTACGGCACATTATATGAAAGATTTTGCATTTGGTAGTATACTCATGTCTTGACACTTTGATTTCACTTCGTGGCACAGACTATCACGACTACTGGGCATTTAACCTGTTGTTATGTAAAACCTTTCTTGGTTATTTTAGCAGATGGAACATACAAATGGTTGAATAGGTGTGAATAGGTGTGCTGATTATGAATATATTAATATTCATATCATATTATGTATTATTGAATCCTCTTGGTTACAACAGCTGATAACAAGAATACTATGCACATAATCTAACGACACTGTGATGCATCGATGGGTTGGCGAAGAACTAGTAGAAGCGAAGGTGCTGGGTTTTTTCATTGGTCACACGGTTTGATCAGTTGAAAGTTAAATTAAGCCAAGATGTGAATGATAAAGTACAAACATAAGATTTTTAAAGATGTGGCTAAATATTTAATCCATTAGGTATTCTCAGACTATTCACCATCAGAGTCAAAACGTTTCCTCAATTAATTTGGGAAGAAAATTTGAAATATGCTTCATACACATCAAGATTTCATTTCAATCTTGTAGCCGAGGAATCTATATCAATGAACTATAGTGTCTTAAAGAATGGCATGATTAAGAACATTGAATACTTTGCTGAAATTAAACAAAATAAATGCGATAATTTATCCCTTCTCAATTGCCAAAAGATATTGTCAGTTATCTTCAATAATATAGAACATCAGTCATGTTCTCGGCAAATCCAAGAGTGAGTAAACGATAATGTATCGATTGCTGTAATAAATAACGATAGCTAACCGGTCAAATCGTCGGTGTCAAATCTTGGTTTATCACACTTCGGTATATATTTAATTAGCCTTCCTCTTGTAATCGGGAGAGATTGTCCACGAATTCGAGAATTCATTTATTTGTATCGAAGTTTCTAATATTTCTGCCCATCTTTTATTATCTAGGTATCTTACGCAATATATCTAAATTATGTGCGTTCAAATTATCATCCAAATCTATATAATCTATCACCTCCTCGAATTTTCTCTTCGAGAACATTTCATACTTTTTAAGTAATCATGGTTCTTATAATTCTTTACAATCATCACCAAAACATCTTCATGCATTTGTTGTCATAATTCCCACCACTAAAGATCTCCAATATATGTATACATCGAATAGACGTAAGGTCAATAGATACTGTTGTCAATAGATCCTGACTGGTAGATCAAGATAGACTTTAGTTTACACCAGTAGGGAATGTTATATATTCAACACGAAATTTTATGAACTCAACATAAACTAAGTATTGATTGTATGTAGGTATTTCATACATACAATTGAGGATGTCTTAATACAGCTTAGATTAGAAATGCTGTTCGATTCATTAATTCTTTTCTTCTCCAGTTCCGTCAAGAACTTTTCCACATTCACGAATAGAATACAGCTTTTACAGTCCACATTGCCAATATAGTAGAATCCATAATGTTCAGATACATACCCTCTTTTATCTTTATATTTAACCATATAATTATTCTTTTTCATTTTCCTTTTCTATTATTAAATATTTCTTCTTCTATCATTGATTCTGATTTCTTTTTAATCTTTTTCACGTAACCGCCACATAAAAAATCATTTACATTTAAAGATATATTCTTTGGAATATTACTTTTAAAACACTCTATATATTACATAATTTGATAAGTACTAATATATTGTTATTAGCTATATTAATGGAAGCAGCACATCTCCTTTAGTAATTTATGGCCCAGAAGGTTGTGGAAAATCAACTTTAATGGCCAGAATAGCTCAATGTTTAACACAATGGTTACCAGAAGCATTTTTGATATTAAGATTCATTGGAATCAGCGCACAATCAAGCACAGTAGAACAATTGCTTAGTTCAATCACAAATCAGTGTTCGATATTAACATATGGTCACAAGTGCTATTGTTCACATGTAAGTATATTTACATTAAAAATTCTTTTTAACAACCTTGAATTTTCTTAGAATATTAAATCTTATCAAGAATCTTTATTAAACGCACTTACAACCAGTGGAATTCAAAGACCAATGGTAATTATTCTCGATGGAATCGACCAAGTAAAATCTTTTAGTTCGAAAACGATTGAATGGTTACCAACAAAATTACCTGATAACGTTAAGTTAATTTTATCCATTACGGAAGACTGCCAGATTCAAAGCGAAATTGTTAAAGTGGTTGACAGTGAATCGTTTATTAAAATGCCTCTGCTGGGCGAGACTGAAGCAAAGGGTATCCTTTTGTCCAGCGTTATGCAGTACAACCATAGCGTCAATTCGAAAATACAAGATTGCGTTTTAACGTCCGTTCAGGAATGCACTTTGCCTTTATACTCGAAAGTTTTAGCGTGGCAAACTTCTTGGTGGGCCGATAAGGAACACGATATTATTCCGAAAGGAAACGTCAACAACCAATTGGCTTTAATGCTTGAAGAACTCGAAGCTATTTTAGGTGTAATACAAGTCCAACACGCGTTGGCTATTATTACGTGCACGAAACATGGTATTACTGATAGTGAAATGATTGATTTACTTGCTTTTGATGAAAATTTTCATAGCAACACAACATACGGTAATATTTAATATATCATCATTCTTAAATTTAATAATTAAAAAAAAATTATATTAGTGTCTTGGGCACCAGCTTGTTTAACTTGGTCTAGATTAAATAAACATTTAGCACCGTTTTTACAATGGACTTTAACTGGAGGGGTTCTTGGGGTCCAATGGAGGGATAACATGGTTCTTCAAGCTGTTAGTTCAAGATACAAAAAGCATTCTTCTTGGGCAAATCAATTGCTACTCGATTATTATACAGTGAGTAATGTAATTGATTCTTAATTTTTGATAACTTTTGTATCATTTTTAAGGGGAAGTGGTATAAAAATCAACCACAAAATTTAATAGCTAGGATAACATCTCAAGACACATTATTAGGAAAATGGTAAATTAAAACGAAATCTTTTTTTTAATTGTTAATTTATTGTTTTAATTTAGTTATAATAGAAGAAAACTAGATGAATTACCTTACCATTATTTTCAACTTCATCAAAATAAATTTGAAGAATCACCATATCTACTTGATATTTCTTGGATATACGATAAAGTGTGCGGTTCGAATTGTTATCAAGTATTGGAAGATTTTTATTTGAGCGATGAGTTTACGAAAAACGATGAGTTTGCTAAGTTATTAAGAGATTTTCTCGAAACGCACTCTGCGATACTCAATTACGATGGTAGACAATTTTACGGATATCTTTACAGTTACATTACCGAAAAGAAATTGGAATTAAATGCAGATCTTGATCCTAGAATCTCCGATGTGTGTCGATTATCATATAATCCTCCAGTTTTATCCTTAGTTCCTATTAGTTGTAATAAGCTTACCGAAGAAGCATCTTCTGATAATGCAAAGTCCGTCTTCAATGACATTCATTTTAATGTAATTACTAGATTACCCAACACTGATAATTTTATTGTTAGTATATCATCGCATAATGAAGAAATTGTAGTTTGGGATGTTAAAAAGTAATTATTTCGAAAATTTTAAATTATTATTTTTAATTTTTTCATTTTAGACCTGAAAGAGTGCGAACACTCAAAGGAATTAGCCATCCAACAAATTTAATTCCAATAGATCAACATAAATGTGTAGTTTTATGTAGAAGAGAACTGAGAATATACGATCTCGATTCGGGAACTTTTGTAACAAAATTAAAAGGTGTTATGAACCAAAAAATGCCATACTTTGGTTTGCATGATTCGAGCCATCTGGTCGCTTTAAGCAGAAACAGAATGTACGTGAATCTTATGAATTTGGATACTGGTGATTGCGTTACCACTTTCAAGGCAGGCGAAGATCGATTCTTAAATTCCCTGCTGGTTTCAGGGGATGGAAGGTAATAACAAATTTATATTTAATATAACCATATACTTTTAGAATACTAGCTATAAACATAATTCTTTGTAATTGTAATTCTTCTTCACACATCGCAAGCAAATAAGAATCATTTGCTGTTGTCTCTTTATGCCAAAATATTCTCACGAAGAACTATAATGCAGATATAACAGAGTAATAAAATATTACAGAAACAACAGCAATTTTTCAACGGCAGTTTTCGGTTTAAAAACAAGTAAAAAGATATACCAAATAGATAAAACGCCGGATAGCTGTCTTTAACAAAAACTTTTTGCACTCAAATATTAATAACTCCATGATCAGTGTTAAAATACAGTGTAACGTCTTAGGTATCAAATATGAAACTTGCAATTTGAACACTTATCTTTATAATTGTTTTTATAAATCCCTGATTTTAATGTAACGCTACGTTGAACTTGTTTTTTTCAAGTCGGTTTGCGATTAACCCTGTATCGGTAACTGTTACCATATGAACTGATATGTTTGAAGCCGAAAATTTTCAAGATTTTGCTTTTTGTAGGGTATATCCCAGAAATCTAATTGACAATAAGTAATACATCAAAAAACTATGAATTTTATCCAATTGGTCATAGTGGTAACAGACTTATGTATACAGGGTGAGTCAGAAAGAATGGGAAATCCGAATACCGGAGACACTAGACACCAAAATATGACGATTTAACCTAACATCTCTTATACAAATGTCGATGGTTTTCAAGGCACAGGGTGTTGAAAGTTAAATCCTGATTTCGAAATTTCTTGATAATTTTGAAGCTTTTTGTACTATTAACATAAATTTTAGTAGTTATATGTTTTTAAGCATGAGAAATACGAATTTGAAATTTGTTTTGTGATTACTCGTAGAAGGCGCTAGGTACACACTGCACTTTTGAGATATCAAGTCATGACTATTTTGTCAATTGAGGTATGGTGAATTAGAACCAGAAATCTGAAGGAGCTTTCAATTCTGCACAAAAAAGGTAGTCTTGCTTACATTGTCTAAGTCTACTGGTTTCCAAGTTATCTGCTTTTATTGTTTCAAAGTAATTTTAAGATTAACATTTAAAATCAATAACACACAGTAACTATAGCAATTAGTAACGATAATAATCGATAACAATAACAATTAATTAATAACAATAGAATATTGTGACCATATTCAAAAATCCAGTGGATTTAAATCTGGATTTCTCACTATTAGAAAACTCATAATGTCGTGGTATTTTCAAATTGGTAATAACTTTATTGTTGGTAAAAATGATTATTGCACACGGAAATTAGATCAATGTTGACAATTAACAACCGATTGTCGAAACATGAGCGGAAAAATAAGCCAACTTTGCTTATGTTAAAAAATAAAAATTTTAGAAGAAAAAATACATTTAAACATTTAAAAGTAAATAATTCGAAAACCGATAGACTTAGACAATTTAAATAAGAGTACCTTTTTTATGTAAAATTGAATGCTCTTTGTAATTTGTAGCTCTTATTGGTTGTAGCTCAACAGTCAAAAAACTTATGATTTCATTTATCAAACGAGCAGTGTGTATCCAGTGCCCTCTACGAGCAATAACAAAACAAGTTTCAAATTCGTATTTCTCATGCTCTAAAACATAAAGCTACCAAATTTTATGTTAATAGTACAAAATGCTTCAAAATTATCAAGAAATTTCGAAATAAGAATTTAACTTTCAACACCCTGTGCCTCGAAAACCACTAACATTTGTATAAGAGATGTTAGGTTTCTTCATTCTTTCTGACTCACCTGTATATGTTAACCTGCTGTTAACCACCTTTTGGATCAGCTGTGAAGGAGAAGTAGCCACTTTTTTCTGTATAAAAGGAATGCCTATGTCTTCAAAAAAGTTTTTTACGTGGTGGCATTAACAAAACTTTATAAATACGAAGGGCTTCACGGCCGGTGTTAATTAAATTAAAACTAGAACTAACACTGGCACTATAACTATTAGTTCTAGTGATAGTCTTAGTGTTAGTTCTAGCTTTAGTTTAAATAACATAGTTATTTTCAAAAACATAATATCTGGTATTTATCTCATTATCTATTCCTGTACCTTAAACCTTGGACCACCTGGCAAACTTATTATATATTTTTTTGCTAAGTCTAACTTACTGACTTATGCAATGTTTTGCAAAAACCTAAATACAAAGTATAGCGATTTAGTTTAATACGACAAAAACCATTATGTTGATTAACCTTGCTTTGAGTTTAGCAGATTTAAATTGAAATCTTCTGCAAACAGCAGCTAGTCTTCCACGAGCAGTAATTAATCTTCCATCAGCAGTATATATTCTTCTCAAAGCAGTATCTAGTCATCCATTAACACCATTTAACTTTCCGCCAGCAGTATATAGTCTTTTTTTAGCAGTATGTCGTTTTCTGTAAGCAGTATTTAATTTTTTGTAAGTAACATAGTCTTTTTTCAGTACTATGTCGTCTTCTTAACGCAGTATTTGATTTTCTACCTGTAGTATAGTCTTGTACAAGCAATAAATAGTATTCTGTCAGCAGTATACAGGTTTTTGCCAGCAATATGTCATCTTCTGCAAGTAGTATTTAATTTTCTGTCATTATTACAGTCTTCTACAAGCAATAAGTAGTCCGCCAACAGTATCTAGTGCTTTACAGCAGTATGTCGTCTTCTGGAAACAGTATTTAGTTTTCTGCTGCGTCTAGTGATTATTATATCGTCTTCTACATGTAGCGATAAAAAAATTATTGACAATATAATCGGAAAATCTTAAATATCGAATCAGTAAAGAAATAATGATTCGATAGAACGACACAATTAGGATTTATTAATAAAAGGGCGCCAGTGAGGTGTGGATCCTTACTGTAGCAGTTGGTGTGAAGAAAAGAAAAAACATACACGTAAATAAAGAAAAATCCTATATGTAATAATGTTAACAGTGGAACTCAGCTTTAGTATAGTTTTGTAAGCAATAAATAGTTTTCTACCAGCAATATCTATTTCTTTGCCTTCTGTTTTGTCTTCTGCAAGTACTATTTAATTTTTTGTCAGTAACATAGTCTTCACAAACAATCAGCAGTATCTAGACTTTTACCAGCAGTATATAATATTCTGCAAGCAGTATCTAATTTTCTGTTAGTCATATAGTTATCATAAGCAATATGTATAATGTAGTATAACACGTACTACATTGTAGTATTCTACCAGCAGTAGCTAATTTTTTTTCAGCAATATTTCTTCTTCCATAAAGAATATTTACTTCTATGCCAGTGTTCTGTATGAACGACGAATGAAAGACATAGAGAACTCAATTTCAGTGATGGAATGTCACGGTTAACACGTAAATAGACCAAAGGAGAATGAATATTCTAATTTACGAAAAATTAAGTGTACGAAATGCACCAAATATGAATTCAGTTTTTACTGACATAACCGTTTATATCATTGAATTATAATTTTTGTTAATTTATCTACTATAGTGTTCTATAAGTTATAAGTAGTGTTCTACAAACAGTATTTAGTTTTCTGCTGTGTCTGGTCATCATTTTATCGTCTTCTTCATGTAGTGATAAAAAGGATTATAGACAATATAACCGGAAAATTTTAAATATCGAATCAGTAAAAAAATAATGATTCGATAGAACGACACAATTAGGATTTATTAATAAAAGGGCGCCAGTGAGGTGTGAGCAGTCGGTGTGACGAAAAGAAAAAACATTCGCGTAAATAAAGAAAAATCATATATATAATAATGTTAAAAGTGGATCTCAGCTTTAGTATAGTTTTGTAAGCAATAAATAGTTTTCTACCAGCAATATCTATTTCTTTGCCTTCTGTTTTGTCTTCTGCAAGTACTATTTAATTTTTTGTCAGTAACATAGTCTTCACAAACAAGCAGCAGTATCTAGACTTTTACCAGCAGTATATAATATTTTGGAAGCAGTATCTAATTTTCTGTTAGTCATATAGTTATCATAAGCAATATGTATAATGTAGTATAATACGTACTACATTGTAGTATTCTACCAGCAGCAGCTAATTTTCTTTCAGCAATATTTCTTCTTCCGTAAAGAATATTTACTTCTATGCCAGTGTTCCGTATGAACGACGAATGAAAGACATAGAGAACTCAATTTCAGTGATGGAATGTCACGGTTAACACGTAAATAGACCAAAGGAGAATGAATATTCTAATTTACGAAAAATTAAGTGTACGAAATGCTCCAAATATTAATTCAGTTTTCACTGCACATAACCGTTTATATCATTGAATTGTAATTTTTGTTAATAACAATAAATGGCCATTTATCTACTGTGGTGTTCTATAAGTTATAAGTAGTGTTCTACAAACAGTATCTTGTCTTCCATTAGCAGTATGCAAGTCTCTGCCAGCACTGCCCAGCTTTCTAGCAGCATTATTCCCATAAAATTGTACAGTAAATCAAACTTATCGGAAGTTAATGTACTTTTATCTTCATAACCAACAGCAATTACTAAAGATTTTTAACTTGAAAATAATAACATTGTATAGAATATGCTAGCTTTTGTAATGCATTGCCGAAATGTTAGTCCTTGATTCCATAAGAACCCTTTGCAGATCTATTTTAAAAACCAATTATTTATCCTCATAATTTCCTATTTCGTCCCCAACATTTGTTTTTCTTTTCAAACGTCTTTTGGTATAAACAACTTCATCAATGTTTTTAGTTTTAAATCCAAGACATAGATAATTTTGAATATTCATGTTTAAAAATGCAAAATTGGAGTACGGAACGGTAAATTTATTTCAATTTTGTCAGTTTCTTTATAAGACATTGCTATATTACAATAATCTTAGGTCATTTCTATACTAAATCTTAATTGTTTCTTTAATATAACAAATGACTAAATTTTAAAAATATACAAAGGTCATCGCAGGGTTGGTTTAAATAATACGTGAGTTTGAGAAATTAAGCTAACAAAACATTTCTTTTAGAATCCTTGTTTGTGGTGATGAAACCCAGAAACCTTTTCCACTACTTGTTTGGAATCTTCAATCAAAAAAATTGCTCTACGACCTCAGAATACCTCATCACGATTTCATCACATCACTTTCAGCAATTACTTACGAAGGTATTTAAAATACGATTAAAAATTAATTTTAAATCTTACATGTATTTTTTTATCAGGTCATTATGTTTGTTGTGTTTGTCACGAAATTGACGAACCAAATCCGAATTTTATCGTCGTTTACGATTTACAAAGTGGAACGTTATTCAAAAAATGGAAACCATCGGCAAATACGGTTTCATTAGAGATTAGCTCTCCAGGAAGTTGTGTCATCTCCGGAATAGAAGATGCTAGAATTTTAGTATGGGATCTTATTACCGGAAATTGTCGATGGTGTTTAAACGGACATATCGCACCAGTTAATCTTTTAAGATTAGATCCAAGTGGTGCTCTTTGTTTATCAACCGATTCAGAGGGAAGAGATCGATCGATAAGGATATGGGATCTTAATAAAGGTAATATTAAGTTAATAAATAAGTAATTAAACAAACAACGATTTATTCCGTTTTAAGGAGATTTAGTGGCTGTATATACTCCAAAAAGAAATATAACCGCTTGTGAAATAACAACAAACGGTCATTACATCATTTTGGCATTAGAAGGTTCGGAAGAATTGACAGCATTAAAACTGAAAGGTTCCGGAGTGCAAGAAATTGATGCGGAAGATGAGATTTACGGTGATAAAGAGAATACCGGAAAAGTATTCGAATTAAAAGAAAGCGATGTATGCTGACGTGAAAATTCTTAAAAATGTCTCTCAAAAAACCACATTGTACCTTTCTTTATAATCTCATAAATATTGCTGATTTATTAATGCTCCATTTCAAAGACGCTTAGCGATGACCATGTTTTCCATAATACTATAAGTGCTGGCCGCTTTTAGTATTGGAACATATCGATTCTGTTAAGTGTTTAAATTTGTATATAACTCTATTTTAAGGTTTTAATATTAAACGAATAAGTTAAGAAAATGAAAATATTCCTCGGTGTACATTTTGAAAAAAAACATGTAATAACTTGTAATTGAAAGCCTCTCTTCACTTATAATAAAATTATTATCGTACTGGGATATAAAAAATTTGGGGTAAATTACAGTTTAAGATTTAGAATTTAAAAAATAAATCATTTCTCAACTTCCAGATATATATCGGAAATCATTTGAAGACTAAAAAAAATCTTATGGAAACATTTTAAATATAAAAAATTAAAAACTAAACTGGAATTTGTCCAAAATTTCTCTTTGGTTACCTTTGAATGTTACTATTTTGTATCGTTTGTATGAGTCATGTGATAATATAACTTATATGCTACAGTATAACTTATGAATCTCAACATTAGTAGGATTATAAAACAAATTATGAGTGGTGTAAAATGGTTGACCAGAACCTTCAAACTTTCTTATAAATAATTTCTAAATGGAACAACCATTCACTAAAATGAAATGATTTTTACAAAACAATATTTAACAAATAAGATTTTTACCTTAATATCTTAAAAATCGAATCAACCATTTTTCCACGCTCTACACAAATAATAAATAAATGATATTTTCTAAAACTTCTATGTACCACTATCTACATTAAACTTAATACATTATAAATTATACATATGTACACACTACTTAAAAAAAACAAATACTACCAAAAACATATAAAATAAGATTGTTGTAGTTGAATACCGAGTAGAAAAAAAAATATATTGAGAATAATATCCGACCGCTTTTTTGTGAAAGAAATGTACCAGAACAAGAAATCCTTAAATCCGTATTTTAAAAAAATGATACATGAACACTTGGTTAATAAAGAATTTAAAAAATACATAAGAAACCTTCGATATTGAGTGTTTTAACGTTTAATCTTATACATACATATACATAAATAGTGTGATAGAGTGCGTGTGGGTTTTTTGTGCGTTAATAGATCAGCACAAAAATACAAATATAAAGCCAATATTAAATATTAATTGATTAATTATTAAGGGAAGTTTTATTGTTATGAAATATATTCCCATCTGGTATGCGGAACAATATTACCTAAAGAAAAATGAATACATATTATATTTATATGTTGTGAATCTTGTGTTAAAATAAATGTACCAAGATATATTAAATTCTTTTATTAATTTCTATTTAAAAATATATGCATTGTTATCCATGGTAATAAGTTAAATGAGAATTTTCCATAAAACCAAAATCCTCTATAATTTTTACGAACCATATCAAAAATTAAGAAAGATGTCTCAGAAGGTATGCAACTCCTTTTTATTAGAACTCCAGGAAGTTGCCTTTCTTTTACTATTTTATACGATTTAAACCAATGTATAACCACTATAACCATATGAGTTTTAAGACGGTAAAAATTTACAGCATGAAGTAGTAGAACTTTTTTTAAGTTGATATTCAGTAAAATAACATAGAAGAAATTATAAGTTATCGCGTATAACTAGGGACCAAGTTTAGCCATCTAGTACTCAAATAATAAAACATGGTCTGCAACCTTACTAAACATACTTAAGTACTGCTTTACATTTTAGTTTTGGTTTGCTTCTACCGATGTCCTGGAAGTGGACGAATCGCTGGAGCCAACATGTACCCTACAAATGAAACACTAGACTTCTGAATATCATTGTGATGAATGATTTTATGGTGACATACCAGTTCTACACATTTCCAGGGCTAACATGACACCACAATTCCATCCTACTGCAACTCGGCGAAGGACAGCGAAGGATTGCTGACACAACCCAATACCCCATCAACGAGGTTCCCGTTCAATACACCACATTTTTCATTCCTTGGGAAATAAAAGAAACAGATACTTTATATGTTAGAAAAATCAAACGAGAAGGTGCTGGCAACGATCAGTCAACCCTGCCTACAAAACTAATTGGGCATAACCACCGGAAGAGAGTAAATACCGTCTGAACAATATCCCTGACGGAAATGCTGAGGGAAATTGATGGTATCTCAAACAAGTCACTCAAAATGCTTCTAAAAATGCATGATTCCAAATTATAAAGATAGTTAACGGCATAATAAAATGGAACCTATTCCTAGACTCGTGGAAATCTGCGATGGTGCTAACTAACAATACCAGAATCAGGAAAGGATGCAAGAAGACATAGAAAGAAAATCACGACTTCAAAGAATGAATTTGGTTTCGGCGAATGTAGAGGAGCTATACAGGAGGCAGCGAATTTCATTTGCAAAAGACGGAAATACTAAGCTTTAATAAGAAAATCACGAAAAAAAGCTTCCTAGATATCCCGAAGAGGATAGAGATGAAAAAAGAAATCACATACCTCGGAATAACATTTAACCAGAAACTAAAAGTTATGAAACTAAATAAGCTATACTTCGAGATCGTCGCACTCAGCAATAATAAAGGCAGCGATAATAGAAGCCGTAATAACGCCGTAGTTATCATATGGAAGAAAAATCTTGAAAGGTCATAAGAATAAAAGGAAATTGGTCTAGTTTAGAAATAGAATTCTACGTTGTCTGCATTCCTAATGTACTCAATAGTACATTAGGAACGTTGATAAACGTTGTAGACGGTATAAAAATGGAATGCAGTCATCAAACGGTCAGCCGAAAGCCAGGTGCATTTTGGAAGATCGTAAAGATTTTGAAATCAAAGAGATCGACATACCTCCCATTCGCGGAATTCGTGGAATGGCTCTCACTATCGACTAGAAAGGGAATGTTTTCAAGGAAACCATCAAACGCCAATGCAACGCGAACATCGAAGACGTCAATGTGAACCATATCCGACGCATCCATCTTAACGTATGATAACATAACGTCTGATACTGAAGGAAGATGACAGAAACGATATCGATATCGATATCGAAGGAAGACGCTCAACGAAGTAAGCAAACATCGTAAATGCGATGTTTCAGCTATGCTATTTTTCCACCACATGAAAATTCGAAGGCGCAATCATATACAGGGTGTTCCATCTCAGACGAGCCACCCCGTATATTTTACTTATCCCATAGTGATTAGAAAAGTTTCCCGAAACCCGCCGAATGATTTTGTTTGGGGGACATCTTTTGACGTCATTTGAGGCTTGAACGAGCAACCCCCTAAGAGGGGATGCTTCAACCCCTCAAAATTGAATAGGGGAGAGGGGTTGAGTGATACTTCATTTGAAAGGTCTTGGAAGCCTCTTTAAAACGTTGTATGAAAAACGTAAATTTGATGAACCGTTTTCGCCAAAANTTTTTTTAAGACGAAAGGGGTCGTCTTCGAATTGGCGGTTGAAGTGCTGGCTTGTTGTCGCTGTTATCGTTGTCGCTGCTGTTGTCGCTGTTATCGTTGTCGCTGTTGTTGTCGCTTCGGAGTTCGGTTGGAATTCACCGCTGATGGAAACCCGGCCGCCTTAAATAGGCGCCCTTGGGTAAAACCCTATCAACCGGGCGTTGTGGTTGGTTGGCGACCGTCCGATCCGTAGGTAGGGTTGACGACCAATGGCCAAGCAGATCGAACGGCGCTCAATTCGTACTTGGTGACAGGTGTCTGTTAGCAGATTACTAATCCCCATAGCTAACTCAGTGTGTCCATCATGGTACAATGCAGATGATGAGCCAACGTTATAGTCGAAATGATAAACGTTGTAGACGGTATAAAAAATGGAATGAAGTCATCGAACGGTCAGTCGAAAGCCAAGGTGCATTTTGGAAGATCGTAAAGATTTTGAAATCAAAGAGATCGACACACCTCCCATTCGCGGAATTCGTGGAATGACTCTCACTATCGACTAGAAAGGGAATGTTTTCAAGGAAACCATCAAACGCCAATGCAACGCGAACATCGAAGACGTCAATGTGAACCATATCCGACGCATCCATCTTAACGTATGATAACATAACGCCTGATACTGAAGGAAGATGACAGAAACGATATCGACCCAAGCACGCTCAACGAAGTAAGCAAACATCGTAAATGCGATGTTTCGGCTATGGTATTTTTCCACCACATAAAAATTCGACCGCGTAATCATATATAAAGCAGCCAAACTAATAAATAATCCTAGAGGCTTTACATGTCCGTAGCCAAGTGATTCGGTATTCGTCTTGAAATAGCAAAAGCCCAAAATATTAACGTTTATATGTATAATCGTTAAATACATTTGAAATACTTTGCATGCGACTTTCTTTTGGGACAATCTCGAGCATAATAGTCCACTTTCCAGCACTTAAAGCAAGTAATTTTCTTCTCAGCAAACTTGCGTTTTTGAATACCTTGTCGTATATGAACTATGTATGGTTAATGATACCTGCTTAGTGATCCCAAATAATCTCTAAACTAGGTCATGCACGATGTACTATACCCTGTCCAATTTTTCAAAGTAATATTAACCCTAGGATGCATAAACCGGGCCTCTCAGGCCTCTACGCTAAAAGTTTCTCTTACAATTAGTAGTGTTTTGCAATCATTCCAATTTTTTTTCAGTTAATAAACTGTCTCTCCAATTCTTTACAACTCCAACCAATTTGGATAAACCATAATGTTTTGCTGTCTCGTCCCAATCGTACAATTCTCGGAATCCCTCGATCATCTCAATCCAGGATAAGAAGTTAATTTCGCCTGTGACAGGGGTCAAATTCGGGCAGTACCGCGTAGTCTTCACATAGTCTTCGTGTTTAGACGTAACGTCGTACCGAATCCATTTATTTAAAGAATTGTGGAACTTTCTTTAAGTTGACATTCTTCTTAATATACATTCTTGATAACTGTCATTTCATAACTAATAATTAAAATAATTAAAGAAAAGTATCTGGAAGTAATGGGGAAGAAAAAATGCACAATATAGGCAACCAATACTGCTCTAATATCGTTACATATCGCTCAATATAAAAATTGAACAAATTCTAAGCTATACACAATACTTTTTTAGCTTCAACTAGAATTATATCAGAGCCCACATATCAACGAAAATTCTTAAAATTTTCTTGTTACAAGTTATTAAACAGGTAATAGAACTCACAAATTTATTACATTCGCATAATCTTAACAATTCATTTTACAACTTTATTCCTTAAGAAAACTTTTTTGTTAAGCAAGCAGGTTATTTTAAACTGGTTTTGATTTGATTCAAAATTGGGTGAACCTTTCCACATTTTCCATGGAAGTCATCGGTATCCAAAGTCCACACCATTATACCACCCAATCCGCGTTTTTTTGCATAAGCAACCTAAAAATTTTGATTTAAATTACTAATATTTTCAATGCAATTATTAATTTTTGGATTTCTTTAAGAACAATAAGCTTAACCTTTAGAGCAACTGATCTGGGATTATCATATCCAACCCATTGATTTCCTTTATAAGCGTAAGGTACTTTTTGCTTATTATCCCAAACAACAGTCCATCCAGCCTTCTCATTTTCACAAATTTCATTGTAACCTAAAAATCCAGCTTCTCCTGTGTATTTTCCCGCGGTACCAGCTCCTGTTGTAGGTGCACCTACTTTAGTGTTTGCACTATTTTGCAGAGTAAAAGTTCTTCCATAAGTACCGATACCCATAATTAATTTTGAAGGGGAAGCACCTTTTTGAATCCAACCAGATATAGAAGCGTCCTAAAACATATATCATCATAACAACAAAAAATGATTTACATTCATACATTACTTACGACTGTGAGACTTTTTTGGAAGTCTGTAACATCAGAAGATGATGGATACAATGGTGCATTTTGTCCAGTAACTGATTCCCAAGATCCGTGTAAATCATAAGCCATCACATTGATAAAGTCTAAGTATTTTGATAAAGCTGGTACATTATAGGAAAGATCAACTGATGAAGAAGAAGCTGCGACTGCCGCTGATAATAAGTAGCCGTGGTTATCGAATTCTTTTCGCATTTCTTTCAAAAGGAATACAAAGTTTGCCTAAATGATCAAATTTTTTAGAGGGATTAAGTAACAAATGACTTATTTACTTTGTCTGAGGGTTTACCACCATTTTGAGCTGGGTATTCCCAATCCAAATCAAAACCGTTAAATTTATATTTTTGTATGAATTTAACAGCGCTTTGAATAAATTTTTTTCTGTTACTAGCAGACGATACCATTGCAGAATATTTAGCAGACCCTTCGCTTGCACCACCAATTGCTATTAATGTTTTCAATTTAGAATTTTTATTGCGAAGATTGTTAAAATTTTTAAACCCAGCTGAAAAACGCAATATATTTAATAACACAAATAAATTAATTATTACATTTTTTACCCAAATCTACTCCTTGCCATGAATCTAAAATTTTAATAGTAGAATCATCATTCAAACCGACGAAAGCATAGATGAGATGGGTGCATAAATTCGGATCGATATTCTTAATTTCAAATTTTCCATCTCCGTTTCTATACGCAGCCCAATTTGCATAATAGCACACAAGTTTATCTAAAAAAATTCATTCAAACTTACAAAATACTTTCAACTTAGTCAAATCAAGAAAAATAAATACCTGTTTTTGAATAAACTGAAGTAATGCTTCCGGTCAACGCCAATATTAGAAGGAACAACATATTGTATAAAACCACAATGCAGACAAGCCAAATTTTTCGGAAACTTTAAGGTTTTATATCAAAAGGAAGAGGAATACGAAAATTGTGGAGTTCTTAAAATAGACATATTTACCACTTATCTGCCCCATAACACATAAATACATAAAGAAAAATGTAGATTGTGTTACTTAACGCGAGTGGTAACGTAAATATTTAAATATAGTTAATTAAGATTGCTGAAACTGTTTTTTCGTAAATGTTAATATTTATGTTAGTGTAGAATATAAAAATAATATATGCAATAAACTAATTTAATTACCGTATTTTCTCGAATCTAATCCGCACCCTTTTTACAAATTTTATATGCTCTAAAATCAAATGCGGATTACAATCGAGTGCGGATTAGATTCGCAGTCGTATAGTTGCGATTTGGAAAATAGTAAAATAAAATCGCATTATAACAATAACGCTGTTAAGGGTTTTAGAACGATATTTACATTTTTATGTATCATTTTCTGCCCATATTACGTCATCTTCGGATCAGTCCAAAGCAGTGGTTATACAAAACTTCTTAAATGATGTTATAATATTGTTTTCAGGGATCGTTTTCCATGTGTGTTCCTGGTCTACGACTCCATACTTGTCTTAACCATTCCATCATCAGCTTTTCCATTATTCATCCTTTTATTGTGCCCTAACTAAGACGTCATTCGGGAAGTCTTTCGGATTTCAGAATGGTTTTTTTCTCAATATTAATAATGATAGCAATTTTTCCCTATCACTTGTTACTGCTAGTATACTAATGTTATGCACAATTTTTCGCAACCACTCGTTTCTAAGGAAATTGGGAGGCATATCCAGATATACTGCCATTTTGTCGGCATTCACAGTTTGAGACAAATTGAAATTTTTTTGAAAATCATTACGAGCTTTTGGGAAATTGTAGTTTGTCCAACCTTTGCTAGTATTAAAATTACAGAAAGAGTAATCGAATTACAATTAAACTATGTTACGGAATACAACCTTTTACCGCCTACACAGTCTTAGAAAGCATTATGGCTGTAATACAGCTCTATCGAATATTGTGGACGATGTCATACGAAGCACAGACCAAGAAAAATTGACTTTGATGTGTCTCTTAGATTATTCAAAGGCTTTTGATACTATCAATCATGACATGATGTATGCCATGCTTCGCTACATTGGGTTTGATGATCTTGCATCGGGATTCTTGCACAGTTACTTGACGGGCAGAATGCAGTGCGTGAAGGTGAATGGTCGCGTTTCATCGTTTCTTTCGACAACGTCCGGTGTTCCTCAGGGTTCAATTTTGGGTCCACTGCTATACTCACTTTACACATCGCATTTTAACAGATACATAAAAAGTTGTAATCATCATTTCTACTCGGATGACACCCAGTTATATATATCTTTTCTGCTATCGGATGTCGATGATAGGCGTCACTGCCTTTGTCTTAAAGCTGCTAAAACAGAGCTGATTTTATTTGGGCCAAGAAAGGTGATAAGTGACAATTCTGTTCGGGATCGGGTCAAGATAGTTGTCAACAATCAAGTATTGCTGCTGAAGGATTGTGTGAAAAACTTGGGTGTCTTATTGGACGAAAATTTAAACTTTAATAAACACATCAATAAGTGCACTGCTTCCGCGTATGCTGCTCTTAAGCTGATTTATGGCGGTCGGTCGTTCCTCAATCGTAGAACAAGGGTGCTTTTGTGCGAAGCCTTGGTGTTAGCGCATTTTAATTATTGTGATACATTGTATGATCCGTGTATTTCGTATAGTAATACGAAAAAAATTCAGAAAATTCAAAGTTCTTGCTTGCGCTTGATATTTGAGTTACGGGGTGTCAGCATGTTTCGCACAAATTAAAGGATTTGAGTTGGCTCAACATGAAAAACAGGCGCATACTTCATTCGACGGTTTTGTTCTTTAATATAGTTACTTTGAAGAAACCTCCATACTTGTTCAATAAAATAAAATTTCGTACCGATGTTCATACCTTGAATATTCGATTCAAGGGCACTCTTACCCCGCCGATACATCATCACCAGCTATTTAAGAAATGCTTTTCATACCAAATAACACATATTCTTAATGATTTGCCATCAACTATAAAATGTTGCACTTCTTCAAGGTTGTTTCGTCACAGAGTGAACGGCCGCTTGTCTCAAATTCAGAATACATTGTAGGGCGACAGGGATCGGGCAGTTTACGCTTAGTAATTAATTATGATTTCACCATCGGGTCTTTTTCTTTTCTTTTTCTCTCTTGTATATTTAGAATTAGTTTTATTAGGTTTGAGTGGAAGAGCAGGTACTGTTATGGCTGCACCTGAACTCCGCCTAATTTGTGCTTGCTTAATTTATAATAATTTTATGTATATATACTATGCATAAATATATTATTATTATTATATATTTATAGTTAACAACAAGCATCGTATCATTTTGTTGTTGTCGAATTGCTCAGAGAAAGATGCGGATTACATTCGCAAACTAAATTTTTTTACCATTATGCATTTTTAAAATCGGGGTGCGGATTAGATTCGAGTGCGGATAAGATTCGAGAAAATACGGTATTTCATAAATAGTAATTGTGTACGCTTCGAGCTTTTATTGAAAAGAGGAATTATGAGTGCTTTCGTTGTTTCACCCATCAGAAAATTTAAAAATATGCATGAGGGAGCCAAAAAATTACTTCTATGCGGGTAATACCAAGTATACTACACTTGGCAATTAAGACCATCAGTGTTTCGCTCATAGTACGATGATCAAAGATGTTAACGTGTAAGGCAGTTATTAGAAAACTAAATTAAGCATGCTACGGCAAACTTCTTTTGTTATAGGGTAAAACGCCAGTAATTGACCGTTGGTCAGTGTTTGACCGTCTTTGTAAAAAAATGTAAAAAATAAGGATCCAAGGAATATCTAAAAAAATATAAATATATCCATAAATAGCCACCAGTCTCCTCTCCACTCCCTAGTACACAAAAAGTCCACGACCATACCGTTCTTGAGTTTTTATTGTTTAATTTCACGCTAACTGCCGGCCTATTCGCATCGTGCTAAAAAGCGTAATTTCGCCCAAACAGGGTAGTACTATTCAGCCGTACTTGCATGTATGATGTTTTTTTTTGTTTGCCAGTGATCTAATAATGTTTTCTATTTGATATATTAAAAAACACCGCTTTAATAAATTGTTTGTTGAAATAACGCCGATAAATAACTGGTTCTAAATTTAATTAAAAATTGATTGTGTTTGAAAAATGTTTGACCAAACGGTCAATTACTAAACGAATTGGTTGTTTTATAATCTCACAAGGATTTATATTTGATTACTAAAATGGAAAAATGTGTAATACCTGTTTTTAAAACTTATACCTTCCCGTTTAAATTGTTTAGTATTTGACCAACACTTTTATACTTTAAAAATGAGATACAATCAGTTTAAATATGCGGTCAATTACTGGTTCCTCTTTTGGTCATTTATAGGACACACTCAAAACTGAGTTTTTTAACGGATTTTAAATGTTATAAATATTTAAACGTAATATAAATATAAGTGTAAATGTTTGATTCTTTTCTATTTTTTAAACCTTTTTTATAACAATAAAAGTAATTGACCGCACTTAAGCAGTAATGAGTCTGTAAAATTAAAAGGAGAAAAGGTTGGTCAAACGCTGACTCTTATAGTGGTCAATTATCAAAAAATCGAAAATCTATATGGAAAATTTAGCAAATATGAATCAGGTTAACATTTCTTCAGTACCAATATGATAACGTAGGCTAAGATTAAAAATAGTGAAGAAGATCTACAAAAGACTCTCGATGTGAGAAGTAGGAGTTTATCTTATGAAAAAGCAGCCAAGATGTTTAACGTTCCAAAGTAAAATCTTATTTATAAAGAAAAAGGAAAAACACCAGTGCAGAGGAAAATGGGCCCACCAGCATTTTAAAATTCTGATAAAGAAAAACTGCTAGTTGAATGGTTGTTTCATTTAGCAGATAGGGGTTTTCCTGTCTCAAAAACCAAGTTGGAAAACTCAAAATTTGGGTGAAAAGTTAAGTCAAGAGCATTTTGCTCCTGTTTTAAAAGATGTTCTTAAAGAGCCAAAAAATATAAACATTTTTTTGTGAACAAAATAGTATAAAAAAATAATGAAAATGAATATTATATTAAGAGTCGGTCAAACATTGACGGTTTTAAGGTCAAAGACTAGATATTATTGGTCAAGTAATGTTACCAAAGTGGTCAAACACTAAATGCGAAATACTGGTTTCCTTTTTAATTTAAAAAAAATATTATTTCATGATGTTATATTTTATATGTAGGGTAAGTAACTTTAAATGAATCAGATGTGTATTTGATCATATTTTGATCATTTTATGTAAAGGCAGAGGGATCTACAAGAAAAATAATATGGCTCGGTCAAACACTGACATTAAAAAATCCTTAACAGGTCAAACACTGGTGCGTTTACCCTACATGACACAGATTAATTTCCACCATGTCCAATGCTCTACTATAATACCAGCCTTGTTGCTCCTTGTATAAAAACATCATGCTTTTTTAAGTGTCACTTACTTGGTTCATTTTTACCTTCAAGTAGTGCTATAAAAACAGCATAAGTTAATGATGGGTGATGATTTTGCAAACCTAGCCGCATTTAAATTGCTTTAACACCCAAACTATTACCGTTGTTTCCTGAAATAACTTGTATACGGTTAGATATGATTGCTAGTACGTCTGTGTTGCCAATATCAGGTACATGACATTTTAGGACATGTCCTATTATTAGAATTTGCGTGTTCTATACGCGGTACCTAGAATTCAGCAATTTTTGCGCTGATTAAAGCGGTTACTCAACATCCTTGGAAGTTGTTCCTACCGGGCGTATTCAGCATACGGTTATTCAATCATCCCGAAAAATACGTGATAATGATAACCAGAAGTGATTTGTTACTGGTAGCGACAGCTTGACATCTACTATAACCGCTGGGGTGACTCAATGAAGAATTCAATAGAAGGTTAAGAAACCCAGAAAATCAAGATATAGAGATAGAAGACCACTGGAATCTGAATGATAGAAGGACTATGTGTAGGGAAGCGATAATATGAGCAGCAGAAAAGTATTTGGAACAAAAACAATAAAGACCAAAGAAGAACCAAATGGTGGAATGGATAACATAAAACAGAAAAAGAGCTTGGGATAAATGCATGCGAACAAGAACAGCCGTTGATCAGAAACTACATCGATGGAGGTGGCAGGAATCTAGGAAAAAGAACAAAATTGAAAACATGAAAAGAATTTGGACGGAAGTGGACCGAAAATTATAGAGAAAATGAGAAACGGTTATGGAACGTAGTTAAGAAACTGAAGATGCCCAATCCAAAGCAAATACAAAATGTAAGGAACCAAAATGGAAAGATAGAAACGAAAGCATACTAAAAACATGTAACTACGCAGCAAGATTTAAAGAAGAAGAGAAAGAAAAAGAAGATATTGAAGAACGGGTAGAGACTTGAGAGAAGAATTTTAGAAAAACGACTTACAACCCATATAGAAGAGTGACATGAAGAAGAGGCATATAGAGAAATTAGTAGACATGAATAAGGATATAGACTTAACCTTCTTGGACCTAAAAGTAGCTTTTCATCAGCACCGAGACAACATATACGGATTGTATTAAGCGAACTAGGGATAAGTTTAAATCTACAAAAAACGATCAAGTATACATATATACAAAAGTAACAGGAACAGTTAAACTAAATGAAAAGACATGGAAGTTAGACATTTTAGTTTAGAATGGAAGTTAAACAGGGCGCCAATTTAAGTCCACTACTGTTTGTAGCCTACTTGAATACAATACTGAAATAAACAAAAATCAAACAAGACGAGATCAGCCCGTCTGATGGGAGGCCGTCTGATTGTAGGGCATCTATTTTGATGTCCTACAAAGACACATCCAAAAGACTTACACTTCACAAAGGAAGAAGAAAGAGAAAACATAGTTGTAAGAATAGCATAAATAAATAAAAATACGAATACCTGGCAACCACGATTTGTAAAGCCGGGAAGATAGGTCAAGAGATATGCAGCAAAATAGCGAAAACAAATGGAATCTATTACCACATAAATAATATCCTGCAGGTAAGAAAGATCTCGGCACATATATTCAAAACCAGGTATTCTCACTCACTCACCTACGAGACGAAAACTTGGACTATATTAGACAGATACAAATCAAAAACATGAGTAGCAGAGATGAAGTATCTGCGAAAAATAGTAAGAAAAGCCAAAAGAGTACCAAACAAAAACTTTAGAGAAGAACTAAGCTTAAGAGCTCTAGTAGAGGAGACAGAAGGGAAACAGCTGAAATGGTATGGCCACCATATTCGAATGGATGAAAAGAATATCAAAGAAAATGTTCAATATGAAACCAGAAGAAAGAAGAGACAGATGTGGGAATGAGTAAACGGCATTGGAAAAATAGAGAAGTGACGCCGAAGTACAAAGAATTGCTGTGATTTATAATACTTACATCCATCTAATCTTTATTTCTATAGCTATCAAACAGCTCTATCTTTCTTTACGTAAGACACCTCGAGCACCACTTGAGAAATATCCATAAAGTATCTTGTGTCTATCATGTCTTTAATATTTTATACCGCAGTCTTGTTACATCCCTGTTGGGCCTTCTCATCTACACAAGCCCTATCATTTATAAAATCATTTCCAGTAGTGTACTTTTAAATATTTTGTATATGATATTAAGGTATGCTATGAGTCTGTAATTCTCTTCTTATAAATTATGGTTGTTCCGCCTGCACACGTCTAATCTGGGACTTCTGATTTTCATTGCGTAATCATCGCTTAATATGCACTTGTTTTTATAACCTTTGTATATTGTTCCGTTTTGCTGTACTAGTTTAAACTTTTTACTTGGTTTATTATACATGTGTATTTACACGTGTATTTAAGCTGCGAGCATTTGATAAAGGTTTCAATTGCATTATTATTAATATTATTGTGCAATATGAGCTATAATTAACGTGGTTTCTAACTATCTATTACCTTCAACTGCAAAATCAAACTAACCTTACATTTAACTAACACAAACATTCGACACATCAACAGAAATGTCATATTCTTTTGAGTCAACTGGTTATGGATCTCGCAACTAATCAAATAAATGTTATGAAAAATGTACAAAATATTTGAAACGAATATTGATCGGAATCTAAGCCTCTCAATTAATGCAACTCACATGAAGTGCTATCTGTGTACAAAAAAATTAGATATAAGAAATATATCAAGGATAATCAAGTCACTATACTGGTAATAGAATTTACCAATGTATTGTAATCGCATAATTATAAACAATTCCTTTTACATATTTATTCATTATGAAACATTTTTTGAATCAGCAGGTTATTGTAAACTGGTTTTGATTTGATTCAAAATTGGATTAACCTTTCCACATTTTCCACGGAAGTCATCGGTATCCAAAGCCCACACCATTATGCCACCTAATCCACGAGATTTTCCATAATCAACCTAAAAATATTCGTAAATTGCTATTGATTATTCATTAAGATTTTCTTAAGCCAATAAGTTTAACCTTTATAGCAATTGATTTGGGATTATCATATCCAACCCATTGGTTTCCTTTATAAGCGTAAGGTACTTTTTGCTGATCATCCCAAACTTCGGTCCATCCAGCTTTAACATTTTCACAAATTTCATTGTAACCTAAATAACCACTTTGTCCTGTGTATTTTCCTGGCGTACCAGCTCCTGTTGTAGGCGCACCTATTTTAGTGTTGCCACTATTTTGTAGAGTAAAGGACCTTCCATAAGTACCGACACCTATATTTAGTTTTGAAGGAGAAGCACCTCTTTGAATCCAACCAGATATAGAAGCATCCTGGAAGCAAAAATAATAATAACAAAAAAATTATTCATGCAAATGGATTCATACAAATTACTTACAACTGTAAGACTTTTTTGAAAGTCTGTAACATCAGAAGATGATGGATACAATGGTGCATTTTGTCCAGTAACTGACTGCCAAGATCCGTGTAAATCGTAAGTCATCACATTGATAAAGTCTAAGTTTTGTGATAAATCTGGTACATTGTAAGAAAGATCAACTGATTCAGGCCAAGCTGCGACTGCGGCGGATAACAAGTAACCGTGCTTATCGAATTCTTTTCGCATTTCTTTCAAAAGTAATACAAAGTTTTCCTAAATAACCAAATTTTAGATGGATAAATGAACAAATGTTTCACTTACTTTGTCTGATGATTTACCACCGTTTTGAGCTGGGTATTCCCAATCCAAATCCAAACCATTAAAATTATAGTTTTGTATGAAATGAACAGCGCTTTGAATAAACGTTTTTCTGTTACTTGCAGACGATACCATTGCAGAATATTTATCAGATCTTTCGCTCGCACCACCAACAGCTATTAATGTTTTCAGTTTAGAATTTTTATTGCGAAGGTTGTTAAAATCTTTAAATCCACCTAGAAAACGCAAAATATTTAGTAACACAAATAAATTAATAATTACATTTTTTTTACCTAAATCTACTCCTTGCCAGGAATCTAAAATTTTTATAGTCGAATCATCATTCAAACCAACGAAAGCATAGATAAGATGAGTGCATAAATTCGGATCGATATTATTAATTTCAAATTTTCCATCTCCGTTTCTATAAGCAGCCCAATTTGTATAGTAGCACACGACTTTATCTAAAAGAAATATAGTTAAGTTTAAGAAATAATTTCAACTTAGTACAAGTCAATAAAAACAAATAGGTACCTGTTTTCGAATAAACTGAAGCAAAGCTTCCGGTTAACGCCAATATTACAAGGAACAGCATATTATATGAAATATTACTGTTTGGAACGTGTATATAAACTAGCTATTTTCCCAAGAAAGTTTATTGTTTTATTTGAAAAGAAAGAGGAATGTGAAAATAATAGTAATTCTTACAATAGTTGAGTTCTATATTTAAGAAGGTAACAAATAAACACGTTTAACACATGTCCTTGCTCCATAAAACAAAAGTACGCAAAGAAAAATCTATGTTATGTTACTACACCAAATGTTTAAATATTTTTGCGTTGAAATTAACTAATTAACTAATAAACTAATTTAATTATCTTTTTCTATAGTTTTATGAGCATTCTTTTCCTTTACTCCATAAATGGCTCTCTTGTACCTCTTGAAGTGCGCCTTGAAGCGGAGTGTCTGTTATCTCTTTTATCTAGTCCAGCAATTTATTTAGCGTTCTTCCCCTTGATCTTCTGCCTTCTACTTTTCCTTGTATTATTAACTTTTCCAGGTTATCTCCATTTCTTCTAATCATTACTGATTGACAAAAATGAACTTTTAATTTGGCGCATGTACTTTTTTGGCTACAGTAGAAAACAGGTGTAGAAAAATTTTGGCACCCATATGTTTTTGTGTCAGAAAGTTTATGTTTTATAAAAAATAAGATGACTTTACATGAACTACAACTTGAAAATATGTTTTTAAAAACTAAAAATTATGATTATTCTGTAGTATTTAGCTTGAAGCTGGTCTCTTGCAAGCGTCCAACAAAAATCTCCCAGCATAGGAAGACTCCATTTGCCTTGGTATCGTTTTTCAGTGCTTTTGGAGAACATGGAGAAAGGTTCTATCCTGATAGAACCTTTCTCCATGTTCATCGCTAACGTCTCCTAGGTTCACAAAAAATTTTGCACGACAATTTTTCAAGCAGATTTCTCTAACGGACTTAACTTTTCTTCGAATATGTTATCTTTGAACAATTCCGTGATCTGAGGTCCGACGAAAATACCTTCCTTTATTTTAGCATCACTAACTTTAGGAAACTTTTCTTTCAAGTACATAAAACGAGAACCATTGCCATCCATGGCTTTGACAAATTTTTGTATCAGGCCTAGTTTTATATGTAGTGGTGGCAGAAGTACTCTTGTGGGGTCGACAAGAGGAGGATGTAAAACATTTTTATTCACAGGAGAGAGGCACTCGCGCTTTGACCAGTCTTTCTTGCGGTAATGATTGTTTCCATCTCTGCTACTCAACTCACATAAAAAGCAACAATACTTTGTACAACCCAGCTGCAATCCGAGAAGTACAGCAATGACTTTGAATCGCTGTACCTCTTGGCTGTACCACATAGTTTAAATGAAAATTGATTATACTGAATTTTTTCTAGTACCAATTTCATGTTTTCGTAAGTTTCTTTCGTACCGGAAGCATATACTACCGGAACAGAGGGTAGTCTATTTCCATTTTGCAAGAGTACAGCTTTTAAGCAGGTTTTTAACGAGTCTATATTCAAGCGCCAATATTGTGGTCCAAATTCAATATCTAACAAGTTCATGGTCGAAGTAATATTATCGCAATACACAAAATTTTCTTCATGTGAGAAGTATTTTGTTAGTTCTTCGTCACGGCTACGAAAAAGACACACTAACCTAATACCTAATACTTCAGACTGCTTTTTTACAATTTTAAGTCGCGAACCAGATCGTTAAGATGAGCTTGAATTACGAAATGAGGTTTTTTACCTTCAGGCACATAGGTTGGATCTTAAATTTCATCTTTAATTACACTACATGAAGGTAAATCGATGACAGCATTTGCTGCGTCGTTTGTCTGATTTGGTATTGCAGGTACAAGTAAATAAGCGCTATGACGAAGTGGTCGTAATGCAGAATGTAAATTTGCATATTTTACAGTATGTTTTGACGCCATATTCATTCCATGTATATTAGTCAAGCAAAAGTAGCAATCAGATACATGATCTACAGGGAATGTCCAAATCATGGGTTTTTCGAGAGCCATATATCGCGTTTCTTTTGCTCAACCTGTAAGATTCTTTACGCATGTCGTACAGGATATATGAGGTACCCGATACTTATCTTGATGAGCCACAGAGAAACAAAAATATACACGATAACACTGCTTCACCAGTTCAGTGAAATTTCGTCGCTGGCTTTTGAAAGTCAGTTTACCACATACGTAAAAAAACTGTTAGAATGATTAATAGACATCCTTCGTATGTTGAGAAACTAACAACGATTATCTTATGTATGCTGCTAAACTTACAATTTGACCTTGTTTAAAGCATAACTTGTTGCAATTCGACACTACGTACAGTAATATTAGCGGAAAATGTAGTAAAATCATATGTGGCTGTCACACCAAATTTGTGGCTGACAGAGAAAAAATAATTTCTGTTTTGTAATAAAGGTATGTAGTAAAGTAATATTTGGCATACAGAATTCTTGTGGTAAAAACCTTGTCGATCAGTGTTATATGCCCAAAATATTGTAGAATTCGTTGTAGTTAACAGTCTGTCTTTGATCTCGAACCCTTTCAGTATAGATATGTTAATCAGTCTCCCTATGCAAGGAATATGCAGCGTTCAACGCCAGCATCACATCTTAAAAGCCTCAATCCTTTTTTTATCGGCTTCTTTGATAGTCTAGGATTCTATATCATATAGCGTTAAATGTTCTAATTAGATTCACTTTTGTTCTTTTCGCGATTTGTTAATCTTTCCATATCTTCGTCAAGTTGGTGATGGCAACTTTAGCTATCGCTATTCGCCCTTAAGTTTTCCTTTGTCCCTGATTACATATGAGTGCGCCTAGGTATATGAATTCTGTGACTTCTAGGACATCTACAACATTTTCTTGGTTAAGGTATTGCCTCTATCTATTATCATCAATTTCGTCTTATTTAGGTTCATTTCTAATCTCAAATTTCGGCTTTCTTCTCTCACCAAATCTAGTATTATATGAAGGTCCTCTTTATCTTTCGTGCAGAGTCATATCTGTAGTGAGTTTCTTTCCACCAATTGATCCCATATACGTTGAACAGTTTTGGTGATAAAATACACTTTTTTCTACACTAAATTGACGTGAGACATGAGTGTATAGTTGTATTTTTGCTTCTCCTGTTTCATCGAGATTTCTCTATTAATTGTCTGACATTAAAAATCTAATTTCTGTGACACTCTCCTAAGAAATCCTGTTTGTTCAGGCGGTATTTGTGACTGTAGAGATAAAGTAGAAATAGGACGATGGTTATTGATTAAGTGATTATTATCCGACTTGTAAGTAGGAACAATAAAGGCTCACTTCCAAACTGAAGAAAAAACACACTCAGCTATGGAACGTAAAAAAATCATAAAAAGAAGAGCAACAAGATACGCGGCACAATTTTTCAAGAAGATACCCCTATACTTCATTTCAATCGCTACCTGAAGCAGCATCATTAAATCGATTTCAAAAACATAGCAACAATGGCTTGATCATCGAATGCAGAGGAAGGACCATACTTCATAGGGACCGATAAGTTGCCATTGATACACACACACACCCTCCAAAAAAAATTTAAAGATTTAAAGTTAAAACTTTAAAATCTATAGCTGGATGATGGTCATCCAAATTAATTAAAATATTTATACAGTTCCGTACGTTAACCACCGCAAATCTATTAGAAAGAATTAAATCCCAGGTGCGATCGTTCTTTTGCAATAACTACAATTATTATTATGCTATAAAAACTGGTGTTAATATGGTTAATCAACTACCCTCATGACCTCTTTCAGTGTTTTTTTTTGTTGGCAAATTTGGCTGGTACCAATTGCTGAAACATCATATTCTTTTGAGTCAACTTGATATATATCAGGAAACTATAAATGCACATTAAATGTCAGAAAAATGCACAAGACATTTGAAACGAAAACTGAAATGTACTTCCGCACAAACAAAATCTGCGCCTAGGCCCCTCAATTAATACAGCTCAATAGAAGTGTTCCCTGTGGAAAAAATTAAAAACGAGAAAAATGTCAAGGATTTGTCAAAACTTATTTGAATCAATTTCCTACAATCAAGTCACTATACTGGCAACAGAATTTACAAATTTATTAAAATCACAAAATTTTATTCATTTATTCATTAACAAAATTTTATTTGAATAAGCTGGTTATTTCAAACTGTTTTTGATTTGATTCAAAATTGGATTAACGTCTCCACATTTTCCACGGAAATCATCGGTATCCAAAGCCCACACCATTATGCCACCTAATCCACGAGATTTTGCATAATCAACCTAAAAATATTGATAAATTGCTAATAATTATTTATTTAAGATTTTTTTAAAGCCAATTAGTTTAACCTTTATAGCAATTGATTTGGGATTATCATATCCAACCCATTGGTTTCCTTTATAAGCGTAAGGCACTTTTTGCTGATCATCCCAAACTTCGGTCCATCCAGCCTTAACATTTTCACAAATTTCATTGTAACCTAAATAACCACCTTCTCCTGTGTATTTTCCTGGTTTACCAGCTCCTTTTGTAGGCGCACCTACTTTAGTATTGCCACTACTTCGCAGAGTAAAAGATCTTCCATAAGCACCAACGCCCATATTGAGTTTAGAAGGAGAAGCTCCTCTTTGAATCCAACCGGATATAGAGGCATCCTAAAAGCAAAAATAATAATAACAAAAAATGCTTTAGATTCATATAAATTACTTACGACTGTGAGACTTTTTTCAAAATCTGTAACATCAGAAGATGATGGATACAATGGTGCATTTTGTCCAGTAACTGACTGCCAAGATCCGTGTAAATCGTAAGTCATCACATTGATAAAGTCTAAGTATTGTGATAAAGCCGGTACATTATAAGAAGTATCAACTGATTCAGCCCAAGCTGCGACTGCCGCTGATAATAAGTAACCGTTCTTATCGAATTCTTTTCGCATTTCTTTCAAAAGTGATACAAACTTTTCCTAAATGATCAAAATTTTTAGATGGCTGAAAGAAAGAATGATTTACTTACTTTGTCTGCTGGTTTGCCACCATTTTGAGCTGGGTATTCCCAATCCAAATCCAAACCATCAAAATTATATTCTTGTATGAATTTAACAGCGCTTTGAATAAATGTTTTTCTTTTACTAGCAGACGATACCATTGCAGAATATTTAGCAGATCCTTCGCTCGCACCGCCAACAGCTATTAATGTTTTCAGTTTAGAATTTTTATTACGAAGGTCGTTGAAATTTTTAAATCCACCTGAAAATCACAAATTATTTAGTAACACAAATAAATTAATAATTACATTTTTTACCTAAATCTAATGCTGCCCAGTTATCTAAAATTTTAATGGTAGAATCATCATTTAAACCAGCGAAAGCATAGATGAGATGGGTGCATAAATTCGGATCGATATCCTTAATTTCAAATTTTCCATCTCCGTTTCTATAACCAGCCCAACTTTCATAATAACACACAATTCTATCTAGAAAATATATTGAAATTTAAGAAGTAATTTTAACGTTATAGGAAAAAATCGATGAAAACTAATACCTGTTTTTGAATAAACTGAAGCAATGCTTCCGGTTAATGCCAGTAATACAAGGAACAACATATTGTATGAAATATTACTTTATGAAACCAGAATACAAACTAGCAAATTTTCCAGAAATTTTAAGGTTTTATTTCAAAAAAGAGGAATGTGAAAAACATTGTAGCAATTCTTGAAATAATTAAGTTCTGATATTTAAGAGCGTGACGAACAGACATACTTACCGCATGTCCTTGTTCCATAACAAAACAAAGCATGAAGAAAAGTCTATGTTATGTTACTTTACTGAATGTTTAAGGGGGGAAGTACATTTAGACGCACTAAAATAAGCGCATTTTCAAGTTTTCTTTTCGCGAAGTACATAACAACATTCTAGCATTCGCTAGAGTGGTTAGAATTATTTGCGAATGCATTTAAATTGTTCCTAACATTAATATCTTCTATGTGAACCAAAAAAAAAGTTTAAAAAAAATTAAACATTTAAAAAATACAGGTGTTTTAATATAATGTTAAAACTTTTTAAGAAAATATTGATATATAAATTAATAAAAAAGTAATTTTTTTAAAATAACTTATGTATACTTAGAGGTTCAAATAGAAGGCGATATTGCTATTTATATGTGTAAAAAATTTCATGAAAATCGGTCAAGTAGTTTATTATTTATCGTACTTATAAGGTGTAAATACGTTGATTTGAGAAAAAACGCGTTAAAGTTTCAAGTCGTAAAACAAAATTTTTTCAATGACAAATAACTTGTTGGCTAGTCTGCAATACCCGGACCATATAACAGCTTCTTCATAAAATTCACTTTCGATCGCCAACTTGTCTTTTTGTGCTTTTCGAGCTTCTTTAAACAGAGATTCGTTACGTCGCCGTTCCTGCTGAGTAATTCGATATTCGTCCATTTGTTCAGCGTATATTTTGGCTTGCCTCCCAATAATTATATTTAATTTACTCATTATTTCCAAAATGCTACTGTGTCCTTCATTAAATAAACTAGCCGCATTTTATCTACTAATTTCCAGTATTTTTAAACCCGAATTTAGGTGCTTTGGAGCCAATCGCCAAATAGTGGAGTTGAAACTTTCATTGGCATTTTAAGTGTGGCCCCCAAACATCTTATTAATAAACTTTCCCGGGATAAATCTTCATAAATTGAATATATGTGTTTCTGAACATCTGGATGCAATGGCGCTGGGTGCTTCATCAAGGAATCCGACCCATTTGATTTAGCTTTTGCCACTCGCACCAGCTCTCGGTTCCTGACGGACAATATTGGTGATTTGGATGTTCATCTGTACAGCAGATGTGATAATAAGTAGCCATTATCGCTTTTTTCATTTCCTCTGCACTGTTGATATTTCTACGGATAGCAAGACCGTAGTATGTCGTAAGTTTTCTGATTAGATCTGTCAATTTTCCTTTTCCGCTAACTTTGTATGGTTTTTTATGTTTCGTAGTCAGGAGCCCATCCTCTTTTCAACATGTCCAATACATTCATTTTTAATAATTGGAAAATCGTCGCCATATGGGTTTTGTTCTAAAATTGCTTTGAACGTTTTGAAATCTCCGTTCCCTATATAGTTGCCGTACTTTACACCAAACTTTTTTCGGATCTCAAAAACATCTCTACAATTGCATTGACTTCCATTTTACCGGCAGACCGTGATAGGGATTGCAATCAAGAAGGGTTTTTACAATCCCGGGATTTCGGGATCAGAATTCTCTATCCCGGGTAATCTCGAGTTTTATGGGCTACAAGGTTCAAGGTGTTTCTAACGTTATAGTTTATTCTAACCATAATACAATGCATTATAAAAAAATGTAACATCCATAGAGCTATTTTTAAAGAAATGTCGCAGAACAAACAATTCATCTATTGTTTTATCTCCTAAACGATATCTAAATTTTGTGTTTAATAAACCTGCTGAAGAGAAGCATCCTCCCGATTCCACACTTGTTGGTGGAATAGTTTTCAAACATTCAAAAGCGAATTGAAGATTTTTACCCATGCAACCCCATTATTGAATACAGGAATTTCTTGAATCAATATATTGACGACTGCATTCTTGGTTAACTAGCCGATAGATCAATAGAACAAGCCAACCGACAGATCGAGTCTTATTCTTCAAAAAATAGTAAATTAATGACATAAACATAATCTCGAAAATCCCGAAATCATAATCGATTTCCGGGATTGCAATCCCTACTTCGTGAGTTTTCATGGAATTTTCTTTGTGTTCTTCATACCAATCAATATATTCTTCTGTATTTTCTTTATTTTTATAAAATGTACAGGCTTGACAATAACTGCTTTTTACAGCTACATCGATAACATTACCGCAATAGTACCCAATAAGCAATGTATAGTGATTTGAATCCGTGCTTTTTCCAAGAATCATCACCAGATACTTTTAAATTCAAGAGTGGCCTTTCTTGCCTTTCGTTTCCTTTCTTTTCTTATTCAACAGCTTTTCCGTTGAAATACTCGAACACCGATTTGGTGGCTGAATGCTGATGATTAACAATATTATTGTATGTACTATTAGTCAAACCGTCGCATATATCCATAAAATTGCAAAATAAATTTATTCCTTGCCTCCCAATGCCCAGCAGACGCATAACAAAAACAATTCTACGATTTACTTCATAACCAGTTTGAATTAACGGTCCCGAATTTATGTCTCTTCGGCCACAACGACAAAGCAAAACGAGCTTGAACCCAATCATTCCATCTACCTCAAATTGTATGGTATCTTTACATTTGCAACAAATAGCAACATTAACCAAAGCACTGAACACGGTAAAAAACTCTATTAAAAGATACGAATGTTGACTATTTGGTACAATATTTTCAGTTCTTCCAGTGGACAGTTTTTTTGCACTTGCACTCTGTCCTGCAACTTCTTCTTCTTCTTTTTTAGCATGCTGATTCCCATGAAAATGGCGTTTTCGCGCCCTAGACGCATTAGTACATTTAGGATAGGAAAACATTTTGACTATTAAGAGTTATATCTCACATTTAAGACTAAAGAAACTCAAATTTGGTGTTTTGAAGTTATCCTATCAGCATAATATCCGATTTAGTGGGAGGGATGAACATAAAAGCAATAATAGATTTTTTCCAGCGATAATTATTGCCAGTACTATTTCTCAGGGTCGTAAAAACCATGAGAAATATTGGAAACTATACGACAATTTCAAACTACATCGATTTTTAGGACCATCATAAATAAAAGTCGGCCAGACAAGAACAGGATCGAATTTAAATTCGTTGAAACTAAAATTATTTTAAACCTATTATTTCTCTACAATTTGCAATAAAGGTGTGTTCCTTAATGTGGCTCTTAGTGATAATCCCGTTTTATTCCCACAGAAGTAAAGACACGGAGTTATAAAAACCGGGAAGACTTGTAGATTGTTATCTATAACGTACTTGTTAAAGGTTTATAAATTCTACAATTTAAATCATTTGAAATTAAAACTTCATAGAATCAAGAGCTTAAATAAGATATTGCTATAAAAATAATCGATTTTTTTGATCACGTGATCATGCGTGAGTCACGTGAATCACGTGGTTCATATGTATGGTATTCACGAAGAACACGCTATTTTAACGAAAGTACTTAGAATTTCGCTTTAAAATTTTGCTATCACATACTTAAGATGTTCAGGCAACATTTTATGGAAAAAAATATTTTGAGTTTATTGACGGTTCTAAATGAATTTCCCCCCTTAAATATTTAAGTATAGCTAATTATACGGTTCCTTCTTCGTAAATATGAATATTTATATTTGTGTATAAATTAAAAATAATGTATGTAGTAATCCAATTTATTTATGTCCTATTGTTTTATTTCTATAGGTTGTCTATTTAACAAAAAATTAAATTCTTAAAAATCATCTACTTCATTAAACCAAACTATAACACGTCCCAACTTTCAGCCCTTAACGGCCACTACTGAACATAAGCCTTTCTCATTTTTGTCCAGTGCTCTCTATTTTGCTCGGTCTATATCCAATTCGTCACTATTCTTTTTATAGTGTCAGTCCAACGTGTAGGTGGTTTTTTTTTACTTTTCATATCCATTCTCGGTCTCCATTCTAGTCACTTTGTACATCGGGCCAAGTGCCCTACCCAATTCTGTTTGAATTCTGAAATTCGAGTAATCACATCTGAACTTCCGTCCTACTTGCTACATCCTCGTTAGTTACACCACCTTGACCTCTCCATTTTTCTCTGTGCAATTGAAAGTTTTTTAGATTTTGTTGCGGTCAGGGGCAACATTTCAGCACCTCATAACTGGTAATATAGTTCATTTTTTTCTATAATACCTGCCAAATTGTTGTAAAGTTGGCAAAATTAATAGGGAGTTTTGTTTTATCATCTTTTAAAATAAATATGTCACATTAACGTTTGAGCTTTCGTTATTTAAAAAGAAAAGGTGCATAAAAATGTTGTGGGATGTTTATTTGCCATTTATTTACCTAGAAAAGGTGTTTTGTTTTATTTAAGTACTTTGTAGCACGTTTTTACAACAAATATGTAATTCGTTAAAATCGTATTTATCTAAAAATGTATTAGTATTTTAACCTCAACTATTTAGTTACTGAAAATGTTACTAAAAATCAGGAAAACCCCTAAATAATACCAACAGAAACCCTAAAAAAATTACATTGACAAGTATTATAGAAAAAAAACGAACTATATCTCCTCCTGCTCTTCAGTCCTTCTACCCTTGTGTACGATGATTTGGATTATAATCATGTACAACCTTTATTAGTAAAGGTTTGATTCAAATTGCCGTCCCTGATCATGTGTAATTGTGGTAGGTATACCAAATCCACTAAAATAATGCCGGAAAAGTGTGTTCGCTATAGTACAAGATGTGATATCTTTTAGCAGAAAAGCTTCTGGCCATCGAGTGTAGCATTTGATAACTGTAAGTACATAAGTACTACCTACGGACGGAGTGAGTGGTCCAATCAAGTCGATATGTATATGATTAAATCTAATTTTAGGAATTTTGATGTTGATGATTGCCGATTTTGTATGTTTTTGGATTTTTGCTTGTTGACATTTTAAGCAGGTTTTGGTCCAACCATGAATTTGCTTTGACA